TCAGTTGATCCTCTGGAGTTGATTTACTCCTTATCTCAATATTTCTGAATAGTTCACACCCTGCAGGTGGCCCCAGTTATCCTCAAATCACTGTATCCTTGTCTAAGTTTCACCATCTTGAGCCCCTCCTGGACTCACCTTGAAGTTTTCAGGATCCACATGCAGCTTGTCACAGTGCAGCTCACTCAGCTGGGCAAAGATGCTCTTGAGATCATCTATTTTCTTTAGAGCTTGTCCCAAAGAAGTCAACACCTTCTTACCATGCGCCTTGACCTTGGGGTTGCCCATGATGGCAGAGGCAGAGGACAGATTTCCAAAGTTGTCAAAGAACCTCTGGGTCCAAGGGTAGACAACAAGAAGCCTGTGAGATAGAACAATAATAACTGGAAAGTCAGAATTTGTCACAAATCCAGAGAAGAAGTTTGGGTTTCTGGCAGCCACAGTTTCCTTCCTTCCTTCCATCCCTTGTCTGGTCCTCCAGAACCTACCTTCCCAGAGTTTCTCCTCCAGTCTCTTCCACATTCACCTTTCTCCATAGGCTTGTGATAGCAGCCTTATCCTCAGCTGTGAAATGAACCATGGTGTCTGGTCTAGGAGCTGGTTGGCAGTCCCAGCTGTTTCAGAAGCAAGTCTGTGCAACTGCTGGAAGGCATGACCTTTTATTCTTCATCCTTGATCCTCTTCTCACCGGATACTCTGAAGCTATTGGTCAGTGCTGTTTTGTGAAGGCTATTGGTCAAGGCAAGGTTGGTCAGTCCAGGGGTGGGGCTGAGGAAGGGAAAGCTTTATTCAGATATTCACATTAAGATAGTGTCCTAGAGGCTCCCTCAAGACGACTCTGCCTTTGAAGTTTTTTATATCCATTTTCTCTTATAGCTTTAAGTCAATTATTTCAATTTTGTTTTTATTCATTTTTCATTTTAGCCAGTTTCCTTCTCCTCCTCAGGGGATACTCCATGACATCCTTTCCAGCCTTTCCTACATTTCTGTCTCTAGCCTCAGAATGGTAAAACATGAAACACAAAGTGTGGAAAACACAGGGATTATGAGATTTGTTTTAGGCACAAGTTTCCACATCTCTGATGGAATAATTATGAATCCCATTCAGTTAGAAGTTGTTTCCAAGAGAAGTGATTTCCTAAATATTTTCTCTGTGAATTTTGGGGATAATTTCTCTAGCTCACAATGCCTGAGAAATCCCATAAAGCATCAGTTTTGTACAGGAATAGATTAGTGTTACTTAACATAATAAAGGACTAAAGTATTGCCTTAGTATCCCTGTTTAAAATAAAACATGTCTCTTTTATCTGACCAAGAGTATATGCCTTTTTATCAAGGTACTTCTGTAGGCATTAGATAATGTGTATCCCTGCTTGATTAGTGTTTGCTGTTGGTGATCCAAGGTTTGATTATAATTCTCCCATGCCAATGAGGACAGTTGAAGAAGTACCATGATAAGTACTGTGAATTTGATTGATTTCTCTTTCAAATCATTTCAGCCAGTATTATTCTAAGGCATGACTTCTGGAAGCACCTCCTGTGCTTTCTCTGTAGACAGCCTCTCTAGCTGTTCTGCTTCTGACATATCACACTCAACATGGTAGGATGAAAGGATACTTTCTTTCCTGGAAGGAACTTTGCTAGACCATGATGCCTGAAATTTTGGAAATCTGGCTTGAATTATTTTCTCCTATGACCAGAATTTATAATCATTTTAAAAAGCACAGAAAAATATTACCTGACATTTTGTTAAAGAGGAGCTTTATCTTCAAATTAATTTATCCCCTAACATCTCAAGTTGATTGAAATTAATAACATTGGTGAAATCCTTCCAGTTTCTATGTTTTCATGTAAATCTTATCTTTGTTTATACATAAGGTAGTTAAAAGATCAGAATATGGAACTTGTTAAAATACCAGTAGTGATTTTTCCATTTATACAATAATAATCTGTGACTTCTCTCAGTAGGAGAATAGATGAGAATTTTACTAGGATGGAGGTACAATGTGTAGAACCTGAGAGGAATTCAGGGTAGATTTCCTTTAAGGTGGGATGGATGTGTGCATGTATAACTGGCCACATCTGATAGTCCAATGATATGAGTTTGTAATGCCTAGCCTTGAAGGATGACTCAGAAGCTGGTATCTAAGTCACCAACAATCTTAGCCTGTGCATTTTAATTGCCCCTACTCAGCCTGAGAGATATTTCTGAACTCTCCTTTCTGCAAGCAACTTCCTTATTTATCCAGATATTTAAATAGTGATTCAAAAGTCATCTGTAGCCACTGCCTTCTTATGAATTTGAGGCAATATCTTCCAAAAGCTTCTTGAATTCTCCCCGTCCATAGCTATTTTCCCCTTCAAGTTTCCCCTGTAATTACTTTGTCATTGTCTAAATCCTCATGTATAAAGTAATTTCTTACAACAGCCTTTCATGCGTTTTCAATCATTCATTGCCATTTGTTCACAAACTTTTATTCAAAAACTATTTGTTTAATAACTCATAATTTTTATAAGATCTGAGGATATAACATACATGAATTGAGTAATAAAATCTTTCTCTGAAGCTTTATAATTCAGAGGATGGAAGACATGTAAAATGAATAAATAAAACTAATTAACAAAATAATTTTAGATATTATTTATTATGAAGGAAATTAATATCTGAACGTGATAAGAATGGAGCGTAATTTGATTGAGAAGGATCTCTCTAGGTAGAAAGGCTTTGAGCTTGGACCAGAATAACAAATAATTTGCTATGGGAAAATATGTAGGAAGAAATATTTAGAAGTTGGAATGGCAAATTCAGAACTCTGAAGCAGGAAAAAATAAACTTTTGATGTGTTAGAAAAATAAGTCCCAGTGAGAATGATACATCAAGATACAGTTTAAAATGCCAGAAAATATTGTAACACATAGAGCTTTTCTTTAATGGTAGGGAGTGAGAAACTATTAAAAAATTACAATCGTAGTAATGACACTTCAAGGACTCTGCACTCTTACCTGACTGCTATTCCAAAACTACCCTGTTTATCACTTTATTTTGAGGTGACTTTTGTTGCCTCTCAGCAAGAATTCGTTATCCTTTCATCTGTTAAAAATTCTGACTCACCCAGATCTGTGTAGCTATGTGGACTCATGCGTGTAAGTTATGAATTCATTTCCAGTTATGTTGTGTTGAACTGGTAATGTCATGACTTCTTCATACCCCATGCCAGATAATAGCTGGCTTCTTGACCTGCAGTGCCAGAATAATATTTGGATGCAAGAGCAAGAGAAAAAGATCTATTAACAGTGGATGTTACTCACATTTTCTTTGATGGATTGACTAGGTGAAAAGATTCAGTGCAATATGTATCTCTTCTATTTATTGTTTAGAGACATATTTTAAAAACCACCAATGATAAATATAAATGTATTGTATAACTAAAATGTAAGGGAAAAAAAAAAAAAACTACATAGCACAGAGAGACCAGTGCTATTGATTGCCTAAAACTACAATGATCACTGGCCTATTATTCCTATCTTGGAAACATGAAGCCAAATTAAAAAGAAATTCACCAAAACATTTCAGATCAGTGTATGGAGAGAATGAAATCTCTAATACAGTTACATTTGCCAAGGTTTGCCATGCTAACTCATAGTGTAAAGGTCTCGATCCTTGATAGGAGAGTTTGACTCAGGTTTCAGGTGAAGACTGAGCAATCTAGCTAGCACTCACTCAGGAGCTTCAGTTAATACACAGTGTGAGGGTCCCAAGGCCAGTGACTGACCTCATCCCATCTTATTCACTCAGACTGGGTGCTAACCCTCACATGCCACTTCCTCCTTCCTTCCCATCCACTCACTCTACATTCGTCCATCTCCTTCCCTTTTTGCAGACTTCACTGCTTTTCTTGGGTTGTAACCATTACTTTTCTCTTTTGAGTCATCACCCATATCTAAGCTGTACAAATTTAAAATAAAATATTTTCCTTTCTTCTGTGAGTGGAACTCTGCACCTCATTGGGAGGCCTTCGTTTACTTTAGCTTTCAAACTTCTTGGCAAAGATGTCTTATAACTGTGCTTGTATGCATTTTGCATCCATAAGAACATTGGTTTTCCCAAAAACACCTATTTCTTGAGTCCCTTAGCAGTCTAAGAATATTTATTGTATTCTACTCTGGTAGCATAGTAATGGCTTTCATTTCTATAGTCAAGTCCTTCACTGTTTGTTCTTTGCAAATACTGCACCTGTGTTTACTCTCCCTCTTTCAGAGGAAGTTACGTGCAGGTCATCATGCCCAAGCTCATTGGTTTTGGACTATGAGCCTTCTTACTATTCCCATTGACTTTTAGTAAAGCTTTTCTCACCCCCTCCAAAAAAGTTATTACTTGTATCCTAACTGTATTTTAGTGCATGCTACATTCTGCCAGAAGATAATGCACAGTGATTCCATTTGTCTTATTCTTGGCTCCACATTAAGACAAAAAGATCCTTTGAAAAAGATCAAGCTGTCGTTGAATCATGTGAACTTTTTCTGGAAAACTCCTAGCTATCTCATAACTCATCCTTCTATCTCCAAATCAATCCCAAAAGACATGACAAGTTAGCTGCTTCAAAATGTACATTAGAATAAATTAAATTAGTAATCTTTGTATAGAACTTGGATCTCCGAAAAGATTTTTCTTTCTACTTTTAAAGAAATTTGGCATGAATCACATCTTTGCTTTCTTAGTTGCCACTTGCCACCTCCTTTTTCCTCTCTGCAGTAAGTTTTGCCACATTGCCCCACAGGTCCCTGGCCATTTAACTAACCCTCACTCTTCATAGACCTTCCTCCCCATATTGGCCTCCTTAATCTTTCACTGGCAAATATTTTTGATGAGTCCCTACATGATTCTCAAAGCAGCTTTCATTTCTTCCTACATTGCAATCGACCCTTCAACCCATGAATGCTTTCCCTTCAAGAAAAGAGTAAAAGATGGAGAATACAAAATACCAATTTTTGATTACTGAAAAGAATGTTTTTATTGAATGGAAGCTATACTCTCAAAGCCGAGCTGGGTCCCTATGTGCAGAGGAAGCGTATGGGGCACACAGGAACATTGGTGGACTGGAAAGAGGGCTCAGTGGTACTTGTGGGCCAGAGCAATGGCAACACCAGACACCAGTTTCTGCCAGGCAGCCTGCACGTCAGGGGTGAATTCCTTGCCAAAGTGAGTAGCCAGAACAATCACAAGCACGTTACCCAGGAGCTGTGGGTGAAACAAAACAACACACAGACATGTTGAGTAGAAGAATTTGCAAGAATTTGTAGGAAGAAAAATGCCTTCATACCTATACTCACTGACAACTGCAACACCAAACCTCATCCAATCATCTCTGAGGGCTTAGGTTCACTTTCATATTTATGAGTCCCTGCTTAATATTCTGCCTGTCTCTTTACTCTCTTCTCATTTTACCATTTTAATGTTTTTTATGCTGTTTCTTCTCATTCAACAATTGTTTAATTTCTATAAACAGGATTTCCACACTAAAAGGGTTCTCAGTGGCAATTTAAAATCTTTCACCAAACATAGAACAAGCCTTTCTTTGGTCACAATACTCAAATGGAATTTAATAGATTTTAGAGAATTTGTTTTATGCTGATAAAATTTTTTTAAAATTTTTCCCAAAAGCTATATCTAGACTTCTATATTTAGGACACACATAAAATCAACCATTTCTTCTTCCTTAAAATAAGCATGTGTCTAGCAAAAGCCAAATTCTACTTCTCCTTGCCAAATCTTCTATTCTCTAATATTATTCTTCAGGATAAACACATCCAATTCTGACAAAATTTTATGAATAGCTGTAAGCAAATTCAGGGTTTCTAATTACCCATACTGTCGCCCTTATTAATCAATTTGGTTCTGGTTATGCCCATAAGATATGTCTTTCAAATGTCAAACTAGACCAAGATTTCTGAGATCTTTGTTGACCTTTCCAAACATAGTGTCAGCTTCTATTATTGTCCCCAAGTTAAACATCAGATTTGCATATGAACTTTTCCTGCACTCACCCTGAAGTTCTCAGGATCCACGTGCAGTTTGTCACAGTGCAGCTCACTCAGCTTAGCAAAGGTGCCTTTGAGGTTGTCCAGGTTCTTAATGGCTTCTCCAAAGGAGGTCAGCACCTTCTTGCCATGGGCCTTGACCTTGGGGTTGCCCATGATGGCAGAGGGAGAAGACAAATTCCCAAAGCTGTCGAAGAACCTCTGAGTCCAGGGATAGACAACAAGGAGCCTGTGAGATAAGATAATAACACAGAAAGTCAGAGACATTCAAAAATCTTGAGGCATTCCCTAGACAATGTCCAGAGTCAGTTTCATGCATTGAGAAGCTGTGCTTACCTGCCCAAGGTCTCCCCTCCCATCTCCTCCACATTCGCCTTGCCCCACAGGGCACTGATGATGCTCTTTTCCTCCGAAGTAAAATGCACCATGATGTCAGGCCTGGGAGCTTTCTGGTGATCACAGAAGTGTCAGAAGCAGGTATGTGCCGCTGCTGCTGGAAGTTGTTGCCTTTTATTCTTCATGGGTGACGTTCTGGCCCCTTCTTTTCCCTGGTACTTTGAAGTCATTGGTCAAGCTGAACTGTGTCCCTTATGGGTGTGGCCATGTCGGAGGAAGGTCAGCAGCAAAAAATGCACACTGAGTTTACGATAATGTGTGCTGGTTCCTGAGGCAGCCTTACTTTTTTGGCTTCTCCTCCAATTACAGCACAATTCTTTAGTTATTCTTTCCTTTCACTCTCTTCTCACCCCATGGAATCTGCCAATATAATATCCATCTATCCCACTCCCCTTTTCCAAGTAGAGAGGAGCTAATTTCAAGATAGGAAAATAGTTCTGATCCAAACAAGTTTAACATTTGGGTTCTGTGAAAAGAATAACATCACGGCCAGGGATTTAGCTCAGTTGTTCCACCACTTGCCTCAAAAGCACAAGGTCCCGAGTTTGATTCTCAGTACCAAAAATAAATAAATAAATAAAAGAATAACAAGTAATGAATTGAATGCTGTTGACACATATTCTCTTCAGGTTCTCAGTCTTGAGGACTGGCTTATGACTAAACCTTCTCTATCTTTTCTCAGGAAAACAAGAATTGCACACAGTTACTTCTGTAAGTAGAATACATTACTAAGTGATTTGCAGTGGAACTAAGGCCTCAATTCCAAAGTAGACTACCAGAGGATGATTTCCTAGAGAGGGCGGACAGAACACCACATCCTACGCTTTTAGAGAATCCTTTTTTCCATTTCTCTGTGAGAAGAAATTGGCTATACATGGGGTATTGCTCTGAGCCATCTGTTTGCTTTTCTGTCATTCCTGTACTTCTCATCAGTGAGACAGTTGAGGAAGCTGAGATTATTTTATACCAAGATTTGTGATCAAAATGAAGAACAAGTTAATTGATATGATAATCATGATAGACATTGAGGTATTTTTAGTATGTGTTGTAGTCACAAGTGCTAGAGTTTCAAATTCTTCTAATGTCTTTGTTTTCTGGACATGTTTTGGTGACTTTCTAACTCATGTATTGGAGCTGAAGTGGGAAGTCTATATTTATATGTATTCAATTCCAACTATATATGTGAAGAATATTTTCTATGTTTTTTAACTTAATCTATGCCTAGTAATATAATTGCTATTATCCAAATGTTTAAAAATGGAGGAACAAAGGTCATAGAAGTTATTCATTTGTCAAGATGAGAGATTTCATGACTGAGGAGTAGGGGAAATAGTGCACACAAACTCACGCTTTGCTAAATCCAGAAAAGTTCCCTTCTATCACCGTAATCTAACCCATCCTTTTCCACTTTCTATTTCTTTCTGGTTCTCTATCTACTATTTCTATCCTTTCATGTTTCTACAGTTCCTTTTCCCCTGCCAGACATGGAAGTTTCTTTTGCTACAGTACTTGGGGGTTTTTTTGTTTTTAATTTTTATTTGGCTTTTTTATTTTCTTGCTGTCGTATTCTGGTGCTTTAGGTGATGCTACTTTTTCATTTAGTAATATGGCCCTTTTTCTCATGTCTTTATATTCCAAACTTACTCTTCTTTATAACCATGCCTTGATATTTTTAATTTCTTATGGTGTGACACAAACACTTCTGACACATGAAAATGTTTCCCTTGCATTTCTCCTATGGTTCTAGAAGTTTATATCTGATTTAATGACTTTCTCCAAATTAGCATTTCCCTGGACCATTTTCTTTTAGCACTTAATCAATAATATATTTAGGGAATAAGTTCTAACCAATACTCAACACAGACACAATCAAGGAGGTATAATCCTGTTTATTTATTTTTACATCACAGACCAATTTGACAGACTGATGACTATTAACATACTTGTCAATATATAAAATAATGTACACTGGGTTGAAAAGGAAAAAACAGAAACAAAGTCTTTGTAAATAGGGAAGGGTGGAGGTGTTGAAGGGAGGGCAGGGAATGGGGAAAAATAAGAACCAAAATATATCATATAAAGGTACAAATTCCCAATGATGAATGTCATCATATTGTATATTTAAAATGTACCCATAAACATAATGAATTCAAAAAGTGGAAAAAGATGAAAGCTAAATTTCAGTTAAAGATTAGTAAAAATAAGAATAGACTTTTTACCCCATAAATCTGACTAACCTGTTTAGTGTTCTGTAGACTACAAGGTAAGTCCTATTGGCCCAGAATATACACCTGAGAAAGAAAGGAATCTTGGTCAGGAGAGAAAACATTTGATCCCTGAAGTAGAAGACCAATTAATAGTCAAGAAGCAGTTGGCTATTCTGGGAAAAACAGTTCCTGGGTTAACAAGAGTCAGCGGAATAAATCCTGGCTTTCTAAGGCAAATTTTCTCTGGATCCACAGTGTGAACACTCTTAACTCTTTCCTCAGAACTTAGGTGTATGGTATAAGCTCATGGTATAAGGATCAAACCTTTTAAATCCAAGAGTTCAGGGAAGAAACCTATCTCAGAAATAAACATTGTGGGTATCCTGTTTCCTCCCAATTCACAGTGTGGTTGCCAATCATCTCTTACTTTCATTGTAGGATTGATCCTCCACCTGCTCTGTCAGACCCAGTTGCAGGGCCCGAATCTCTTTGCTCATGGCCTAGGGGATTAGACCTGGCTTCCATTCAGGGACCCACTCAGTCAATGCTCCCTTGTTGCTAAAGGCTGTTGGGAAGGGCTTCAGCAAAAGGTATACATTTGAAAGGGAGCAGGTCTGGTTCAGTGGAAGGATGAAGAATTTTCATGCTGAAGTCAGGTTGAGTGCATTTTCATCATTGTTTAGATGTTTGTCCACACAAGCTAAACTACCTCCGCTGTTCTTTTTAAAAACATTTCATTTCTTTCTCCTGTCAACAATAAGTAGCTACTGTCCCTTTTATTCTGGATTAGAAACCCAAAGTTTACTAAGATAAGTGACATGGCTATTGAGGACTGATCAGAATGAATAAATAGAAAAAATAAGAATATTCATTTATGGCCTATAAAAATTAATCAAATTAAAACTCTGTGTGTCTTAAGACTTACAATGACAACAGAAAAGCTTTTTTAAATACCCTAAATTTAATGAAGATAAATCCTGCCTCTGAGGGTTTCCTATAATATTTTTAGTTTTGTAAGCTCTGGGTTAGATTTTAAGAAATATAAGATTTTAAGACATATAAGAAATACATAGGGAAAAATATATTTTCTTAAATCTTGCTACCCAATTTATGCCACGTGTTTATTCCAAAGACAAACAGTATATTGTTCTTTAATACTCTTGGCATGGAAAATTATATAAATTAAATTATTGATGGATAAAGCAAGCTCTTCAGTTCACTGCATCTTTTCCATGGTGTTAATGAGAAAAATAATTGCTTCAGTGGATATTCTTTATCGTAAACTAGTTCCTTCATTTTTAATTTTAAAACTTAAAAAAATATGAACCACATTTGTAAACCAAAGAGCGAGAAACTCTTTTTAGGATTATTAATCAAGATTATAGGGCGGGGAATTTAGCTCAGTGGTTCCGCCACCTGCCTCACAAGCACAAGGTCCTGAGTTCGATCCCCAGTACCAAAAAAAAAAAATTATGTTATTCTTCCATCACGTATCTGCATTTTTGTTTTGATAAGAGATAGTACCAGATAGTTTTATTAGATTTTGCAAAAGCCAAAAATGACTGGATATCACCAGTAATAAGAAATTCTGATATTTTCTCTGCAAGGAGCTTACGAACTCTTTTCTAGTGTCATTACAAAGAATGAAAGAATGGACACAATCAGTAGGCATGCAATACTCCCACTTTTGACACACCAGTTCTTGGCCTCATGACTCCCAAGGGTTGTAAATGGATTTCATCCAGAGTTGTGCCTCATCACAAGGTGACCCCTCCCTCATCCTCTTAGAGCACAGACAGCAGTTGACCTCTGGAGCCATGTTGTGTACAGCACAGCCAAGGGTACACGTGAAGGTTAGTTAAGTTGGAGGAAACTTCACAGGGAAGTACGGATGGAAAGCCAGACCCAGCAAGTTATTCCACTTTCCTACATGATGAGCCTTGAATTTTAAAACTTGAATTTGGTAACTTAGAAAAGTCACACATATCCCATTGTTCTGGGAAATGTGGCTTTATTTTCTCTGTCTCTTTGACATTTCTGACCTTGAAAATAAAATCTTTTTCTTTATTTCATAATTAAATTCTAGAAAATTCTGTATTTTTCTTTGTTTATATAAAATAATATTTCTTAATGTTTTCTCTGAACTAAGAACAACCTAAAAATAAAAATATAATGAAATAGCCAGGAGGATTGACATTATTATTAATGCAAGTGCTTTTTAAAAATCTTCATTTATTTCAGTTTACTGCATTACCTTGGTTCATTAGGCCAAATTTTATTGCTCTTACCCAAGACTTAAGTCAAGTAATAATTCACAAATGTTATTCAAATGTAGCACCTCTAAAATATACATATACTCAATATACTCTAGATAGAGTTGATCCAAATGAGACTTTTTAGACACAGGGTTTAGTATTTTGTGTCCCGAACTGTTAGAAAAGAACCAGTTATATGTTAAGAACCCATCTCTATTTACTGCTAAAAAAAAAAGTGGGAAGTACTTGATTTGGTGATTTTTTTTAATTCTTTAAAAATTACTTCTTACCTAGGCATCTGTCTTCAGTATTTTGAATACTCTATGTTAAAGCTATAATGCAATATATTTCTTGACTTAAAATTTTGCATCTCTCAGGGAAAAGATAAAATTAAAGATTATAGAGTAAGTGGAGAAGAAATGGTAATGGGTAGATTCCATCCATTAACAAATTCATTCACTGTTACGCTTTAGAAAACCAGGATCTTTTTGTTTTGAGTTGCCAAGGACTGGGGTGCTTAATGATTGTTGTCTACTCAAAGTTGATAACCCGGGAGAGTTCCTTCTTAAAAGAGAATCATCTTAATCCCTGAATTGACTCTGAGGCATCTGTGAAGGAAGGAAGCATCTCTTTTTCACACAC